CGATCTCTAATCCTTCTTAACGCCAGCTCGTATCTCTGTCGTATCTTCTAAGATTTTCCCATTGTAAAAGCGTCCCAGACCGGATCCAATGCCATCTACACGAGTCGTTTACGTCGTTTTTACCGTAGTACGTCGTGTCGCCATGTGTACGACGCCGCAAGCGATTACGAGCACTGTTGAGAGGGTGAAGCTACTTTTTTTCCACCTAGCGGACTCCCCTCTGACAGAATCTTCACTCACCCACTCACGCCTCTCTTTCCGTGCACCTCCTCCTCTGCCAAAAATCCGGTTTCCTTCCGGTCGTCAGGCGACACTCCCTGGATTATCATTGCTCTCGCGTCCTTACCACTCAACCGACAGCGCCTCGCACCACAGAGCTCCTCACATTGGCTTCCAATCAAACCGAGCATATTTGATCTGCTGAAAGGATGATGCGCGAACTGCACAGTCGTTTTGAACAACAGAATCTCTTTGAATCTGGTCATTACAGCTCGAGGAAGAGTCTCGGACCAAGTCAAGCACATTCATACAACGATGTGGTGAGTAAAGCTTTCCTTCTTTCTTTTCTTCGAAAACTTTTTTTACATCATTTCTGCTGATTTTTTAGAGTATTTTATGGAGTCAGCTGTTCTGAGAACTTCTCATTATAAAAAGTTGTTTACTCTTCGCAACTCTGTTTTCACCCTGACGATTTCTCTCTATAAGTAGTCACTCAGAGCTCATTTTCCAAAAATTAATCGTTTTCCCTCGATTAAAACGTTCTGCATAGTATTTGGCTCAGATGAGGTGGTGAGGCTAGCTGGGTTTTGGAGTTTTTTTGGGATGACCCCTACAGTTTCCATCAGCATTCGCGAGTCTTCGAAGCACCAGATACCTTGCTGTCCTGCACGAAGTCGAATGCATGGCACATTTGGGAAGAACCAATGCCCTGTAGTGTTCCTAGGCGTAATTATTCGATTAAAACAAATTTCATTGTTGAGGGAAATTATTTGTAAACTACATTCCCCCCACTTGGTCTATCTAATCTCAACCCCTTAATTTTCAACTTTCACTAAAATAGAAAATTTCCTGATGTTGAACTATCCTTGAAGTTCCACGGCTTTGATTCTATTGTTATCTTTTTCACCTTTTTCTTTATACATAGCTTTTCTCTTTCATTCCCGCATCAGTTTGTTCCTTTCTGACTATTGCTTCAACTACTACCAGCATGATCGCTTTCGATCACCACTGAAAGCCTTGGTTGCTTATCGTGTAGCCTTTTTTTAGGACCTATTTTTTAAGCGGGGTAATAGCTGGNTATACATAGCTTTTCTCTTTCATTCCCGCATCAGTTTGTTCCTTTCTGACTAGTGCTTCAACTACTACCAGCATCATCGCTTTCGATCACCACTGAAAGCCTTGGTGGCTTATCGTGTAGCCTTTTTTTAGGACCTATTTTTTAAGCGGGGTAATAGCTGGGGTCATTCGAGTGAAAGGTTGAGAGAGTGCTTTGAATCCCAAAAGTCAGCCAAGAAGTTTTCGTCACCTTTTTGTATCAGTACGGATGGCATTGTTGGCACTTTGTGGCACTTTGTCGGTTCCGGATACCTTACGGTTTCAGAATACTGTTCGCTGTTTAGTATTACTCAAAATTTCGAGCGAAAGCCTCGTACTACAGTCTTTTCAAAGACCTTATGGTACATTTTAAGTCATTTTGTCTGAAGTGTATCCAGGTTGCGTTTAGACTTTAAAACCTGACCCAACGTTTTGATGAGAACTCTCAAGCATTCTAGAAGTATCTAAATTAGTACTTTAGTACTTTTGCCTAGGGTTTTTCTTTGAAATACCCTTTCTTTTTTCAATTGAAAAACTTGACTTCCCCTTTATGGTTTAGTGATCACGCTTTCAGGGATACATCGAAATTATGGAGGCTCCTGAGGGACTTATGATGTATAGAACCAAGCAGGCCTTATGTTTCTAAACCTGTGACGGAGGGAAGTGTACAGTGCTCAGCTGACCTGAGTGGGTATCGGATTAGGCTTCAATACTTGGCCTGTAGGTGAGATGGTAATTCCAATTCCAACGCTTTTTTCTTCGTTGCCAAGAGACACCATACCCCACTCATCGTAACTCTTCGTGAAGCGAAGCCCATCTGAAAGGTTTGCGGGTCTGGGTTTCACGAAATTGAAGATTTCGGTAATTTCCGATTAGTACCGTAGTTTTTCTTATATTTAACGATACAGCTCGTTGGGAAACAAATACTTCACCTCCATAAGATTGAATGGGCCCAAGTTGCAGGACGGTAGGGACAGGTAGTCTAAATAGATTATCATTAAAGTCGGATGGATATACAACATGGGGTTACGATAGAAGGTGACTTCACCTGATGGCGTACTGGCTTCTGAAGGCAGTGAATGGATTCTGGATGGTACCTAGCCGTGGTTCAATCCCAGTTGGTAGGCAACGACTGAACTGGAGGAGTGGGGGTTCTGTGGGTCGATATCTGTGAATATTTATTCCAGAATGCAGTAAAAAGCAGTTTATTACTCTACGAGGATGTTGGGGGAGTTAGTTACTTTAGCTTATGTCCACTCTGCTTCGAGCTCTCTATTCATTTTTTTTTCTTTCCTTTTTCTCTGTATCTTCTTTTGAGCATTTTTTATCCTTGAATTACTTTTTGTGTATTTGAATTGTAAATTAGCCAGCTGAAAATCGATTTTCTTGACAGTCACGAAATGGAAATTTCTTATGAGGCTTCATTTCTCGTGACTTTCGAGAAAATCGATTTTCAAGTTGTTATTTTTACCGCTATGTAAACGCGCTTTCGCCATCAGCAAAGGCCAAGCAGCTCTGCTTAACGAAAGCGTCGATTTGTTTGACGTTGAGAGCGTGTAGCGTGGGCTGTTGTTTGCCAGTCGACGTCAGCCACCGGAGAAGCCCCATTGCTTCAAAAGAGAGAGACATCTCATGGAACGGTCTATAATCGCTCGGAAACATGAACGGGAGCAAAGCCATAAGGCACACAGTGGCGGGTTCTTTCGGAGTTTTTTTTTCCTATACAATCGGGCATGAGACAGAAGCCTTTATCAGGAAGGCCTGATCAAAATTTTCGATGTATTATGGAGTGGGCGGGGCTTCCTGTACTATTCCTTGCTTACTGTTGGTCAAATGGGCGGAGTCTCCATGAATTCCCGACTTTCCATATTGGTGCTACGACTGGTGAACGGGAAGATTCACAAACGGGGTAGGGGATGGGATTATTACTTCCCAGAAAGAAGAAAAGAAAATTTTTGGTTTCTGCTAGATTTTTGTTGTCTCCTTTGATCTTTGACCAAGTAGGAGTTTCTCATAAACAGATTACTTGAAAAAGGGGTCCTTTCGCTAGGACTCTTCACCTGATTACTGTACCTATTTTTTGCCTTTATTCAGGACGATATCTCTTAACATTGGATTCACTGACGTGAAGACCGTTGTCGTCATCCAATATTTGTCGAGAAGGGAATGAAAACAGTTTTTTCAGCGCGGAACTCGCTCACCGTCCCGTGATCCATCTCATGCGGACTCGATGCTTGGAACGTTGAACAGCGATTATAGCAGTAAACATGGTATTTCGACGATTCCAAAGGGCGACTGTGGCCAATGCGGCAAGCCGATAATTGGACAGGTTGGACGAGTTGTCCTTAGGGGACGAGAGACGAGTTGTCATAGGGCCATTCAAACCTTAAATAGTGGTATTGATCGACTCGATTAGCCTATTTGAAGGCTTGATTCATAGGAAACTTTAGATCAAGAAAAACTACAAGGAAAACTGAAGGGTTCTGCAGACATCACAACTTTACCTTGAGGGAAGGGCTGATTCGGGCATCAGTGCATACTGAATACGAGGGGCGGGGCATCCCCACGCATGACCAAAAATTCTGTGGGAGAGAGGGAACTTCTGCCATTATGAATGGACTGAAGGGTCGACCTTGAGAAAAAGTGGACTACGATAAGAGATTTTCTCATTGTTTTTCTTTTGTTTTTGTTCCCAAATTTCCTATCTTCAGGTTGTGATAGCGCTAGGAAAAATGTGGCATCCAGAGCACTACGTTTGCTGCGAATGCGGATCGGAACTGGGCCACAGGAATTTCTTCGAAAGGTATGCGTAATGGATGTAGCCAGCTGGATAACCCTTGGAATCCTATGGATTACTTGAATCGTGGATGAGGGCCATCTCTTTCAGGAATGGACGTGCCTATTGTGAGGAAGACTATCACAACCAGTTCAGCCCGAGATGTGCCGGATGTAATGGCCCGATCAAAGACGTAATTTCTTGAAGTTTCCAAAGGAATACAAGTTCCTCGTAAGATTTTAATGTGTTTCAGCGTTGTGTGACAGCCCTGGGTAAAAACTTTCACATACAATGCTTCGTTTGTGCCGAATGTGGACGAGAATTCGGAGACGATGGCTTCCACGAAAAGGTCTTGTCAGGGATTTTTTCCTTTTTTCTGAAATATCGTTGTAAATGTAGTGGTTTATTGGGTTTGGTTTTTCCAGCGTTCAGTTATGACTGCGATTGCAGCCATGATTTGGGTTGGTACTTTGGCTCCTTTTTATGCACTAGCTTAGACCCATAAGGCCAATGTATGTCACGGCAATGTAGTTGGCGAAATATGTCGTGGAGATCGCGAAATCATTAGCCTTCATGTAAGAAAAACCATCGATTAGCAGCGTGTGCAGTGTTGCACGTTTGCTAAATAACAATTGGATTAAGTGGATTCACTGAGGGCTAACAATGGAGGAACATAATTGATTTAGGAATAATAAAAATTGAACATATGGGTACCCACCCAAGAAACACAATTGAATTTCGGTAAACTAACGATGAATGTTCATGACTGAGCAGTTTGGGCTTTTTTGATTTTTATAGACACGAAGTGATTGATTGAAATCCTCAAATTCTATCGTCTCTAGAAAAGGTCGGGTAACCTACTCGAGCCGACTTTTTTTTACCTTCGGCCCAGTCCCTCCCTTCCCATACGTGTTTTGCTCCGCTTAGCGATACCATAGGCGTTTGACAGTACGTTTTAGGGCAAATCCTACGGGATCGGTCAAGGTTGGCTGTGTATTTCATGGCACTGTATGGTTACGCAGTCATTGTCAGGGAGGGGAAAGAAGTCAGCTTCTGCCCTATTCTAACTTAGGCAATAATTTTCTTGGAATATTACTTTCCAAAAAAAAGTGTGAATACTTTTCTTCCTCGTTCCGCTCGTATTCACCTGAAGAAATAATGCAAAGAATAGAGGAGTGGGCATAGGTCGTATTGGGACACATTGGAGGGCAAGAGGAATCCGTGCTATTGCGTAACCCTAGTCACTTTCTTTACAATTCCAAATTTTTGATAAATTTTGGTAATGAATGGTGGGAAGGAATGGTACCAGACCTGCGTAATTTAGTGTATGTATCACTCTATGTACCTATGTAGGATTTTTTCATCGATACCCTTTTTCAGGATGGACAGACCTATTGTCGTCGTGATTTCTTCCGGCTTTTTGCACCGAAATGTAATGGTTGTCAGAATCCGATTACTAGTAACTTTATCACTGCGCTGGGTACCCATTGGCATCCGGAATGCTTTGTTTGTCAGGTACGTGAATACGGTACTAAAGATGAATTTATTGTGAGAATAATAAACTTTAACATTACTAATAATCAAGTGAGGGCAACTAATAATTATTTATTTTACTAAATCTTGTGGTGATCTTTATTTTTTCTTATTTCTAACATCACTCGTGTCCGGTATTTGACTTTTGCCCATAAACTTGGTCTCCCAAACAGCTCACTCTCCAGTAGGATGGGGGGCGCTTCATGAAAGAAAAAGCCAAAAATCATGCGCTCTTGAGGAAGGTATTCTGGAAAAAAANNAAAAAAGTACGTTAATGTGAATCCCTCTACTACTGAGAGCAGCGGTAGGCGCTGGTAGCACCCAAGTTGAAGTGTCCCTTGGCTGTTACGACCACGGGTCCAAACACGTAATCTACAAATTGATTTTTGACCACGCCCATTTATCGCAAACGCTTGTCATCGATAACTTCTTCTTGAGGAAATTTGATTTTTTGCAAGAGATTGTTCAGACATTTTATGCCCCAAAGAGCTCCTCAAATTGATGATGGAAGGGACGATTTTTTTTCATGCATGACGCTTTTAGATTCAATAGTGAAGTCATTATGCTTTCGTCTATTGCTGATTGTGGGCTCTGGGTTCGATTACCATCTGTAGCCGTAGGCTACTGGTCAGATTTTGAAAAAAATGATAAAAAAAAACTTAAGGCTTTATTGTCTTCAAGCTGCTTATTAGGTTTCGCGTTCGCACTGTCATGTAGAGGCTTCTTCGGATAGTGCACTTTATTCGATTCTTTGGGTTGCGCCGTGTAGTTGTAGTTAGCTATAGGAGCATAGAAGCGTATGTTAGACGTGGTTATGGAAAATGCCTACTTGAGCCTTTTTTTTCGGGTCATATCGGAAATTTACCTCTCTTAATGTGTGGCTACCTTTCCTGGCTATCAAGTTAGTGATCTAGTAATGTATTACTTAAGTTCTCAGTTTGGTTCCTGACAATTCATTTTATGTACAGATTTTCTTAATCAGTGTTGGTTTTTAAGTAGGTACGCAGGGTCCACTGCAGATGGGAAGGTGAGTGAATCTGAAAGTGCCTCGGGCACTTCCCATTCAGAGCACCCAACGAATGTTCTGCTTCCGATTTGCAGTACCTAGGCGTACCTACTACCATTATATGTCAGTGTGGAGTGTAGTGGAGTGTTGTCTGTCCTTCTACAGATGTGTGGCTGTTCATTCGCTAGCGGTACATTCTTCGACGATGGTGGTCAACCGCTATGTGAGACACACTATCACGAACGCCGTGGTTCATTGTGCCACGAATGCCGTGCACCGATCTCAGGCCGTTGTGTGACGGCAATCGGCAGAAAGTACCATCCGGAACACTTCCGATGCTCTTACTGTAATCGACAACTCACGAAAGGCACATTTAAAGAAGTCGATCGTCGTCCTTTCTGTCATAAATGTTACAATAACACATATGCACTTACGTAAGACGAAAAAGCGACCTTCTTGATGATTGCTCCCGCCCTACCCAAAATACCCTACCCTGATCGTGGTTGTACTCTACCTTAGGCCAATGGCTATGGGTGCACTGGGCGCACTTCAAATAGGGAGGCTAGGCTACCATCCCACATGTTGATCCTGATTGGCTGATTGCCGAACTACAAGCCATTCGTAGCTCGGCAATCGGCCAATAGGGAGTACGTTGGGAGACACCAGTTCCACCTTCAATTTTGCAGCGCACCTTTTGCCCCTTGGCCCTGGCTCTTGTACCCATACCAATTTCTCTTGCTCCCCTTCGTCTCCTACCTATGACACCTTACCCTGGAGGTTATGATGATACCCCTTTGCTTCTCCCGGATCGCATACTTTGCCCACCCTATTACTCGAAAGCGACCCAGCCGAAGTCTCACCTATGTATACGGAAGCTAATCTTAGCGTAGTTTTCTCATATATGAAAACCCGATGGTTCGGAACAATAAACGTTGTCGTCGGCGCAGATTTTATCATTAGAGCGCGTCCAGGGAGATTGCTACAGTAATCGTTGCAAGAAATACTGAACGATCGGATTGATTAGTATAGATCATGTCCGTTGCTAACATACGAATCGATTAGTTATGTGTTGAAATACTCATTGCTATTAAGTTTTATGTTTTGATTATACATATTAGCGTGTATTGTTGTCATTAATTCACCCACTTAACCGAAAGAGTTTGATTGATTTCCGATATTTTCTGTTTCGTTCATTAATGTTGTGCTCAACGCGGAATGGTTCAGTTAAATAGTCAAGTCACTTTTTTATGTTCGGTTCGTTGCTGTGAATTTTTGTCACTTTATCATCGATTAATTGTCATTTTAAACGAAATCAATCCGGCAATGGCAGAGCGCAGACAATGGAAGTCCCAATGTCTGCGTGTCTGCCCTAGCCACAAGCGAAATTTTGTGAAATCCCCCTTCTTTTCGTCAACTCATTGTCGAATTTTTCGATGATTCAGGGCGATGATCACTTTGCTCGCCTATGTCCAATGAGTGTAACGTACTTCGAAGAGGAGGAGATTTATTGATTGATTACATTGTAAAGGTTGCATATCATCAAAATTAATCGATAGGGTAAATATAGTCCCGTTTGATATCGCTCATGTCGTCAATTTTATGCATTATCGATTTTCTTTTCGATAAAGCTTTGTTCTTGTATTGTTGCTTAGTAAAAGTAGCGTGTTTCATCGTAGAATTTCATGTACCTAAACTACCCGGTTCTGATAAAAATCGATGATTTCTTCGGATCGATATGCATGTTTTCTATATAATTAGTGACGATCATTTTAAAAAATAAAACCCTGTGAAATAGAATTGTGGTCGTATTACGTCGTGTTTCCTCGAGCTCTGTTTATGCCACCCAGTTTATTGAGAAGAATCCAAAATAGGAGGTGATATTGGTAAAAGGTACCGGAAGATATGGTATAGTAACGTTTTCATTGAGGTATGTGAAGGCATAGGGTATTGATTGGTCAACCCTACTGATTACGCGTAGCTTGAGGTTTATTGTCAGGGTCAGAAAGTTTCAAGAAAATAGAAATTAGAAGTATAGAAGACGGATTGTCAATCTCTCGTTCCCGAATCTGGAGATTGGGAGATTTGGGAAGCCCTCTTATGGCCGCCAAGCCCTGTTTAATGTGGTGATCATTGTCAGGTGTAGAGATGACTGATGAGGATTTTATTTCGCAAAATAAGACCTCGCGACCATTTTCGTCGCCCTCACGAGTGCTAGTCAGATGGAGTTGGAACAATGAATGAAAGGCCCACTATTGTCCTCTTTAGGTTTTCGTAAAGTCATTCTTCTGCTGATAGAACTCTCCGCACAGCCTGGATTTGACGGATCGCTGGGAATTAAATTTTCTAGAAGGACTGAATGAAACCTTCTAATGTACAGTTAAAGGTACTCTGGCAATTTCGGACTCTTAAGTAAGGCTATGCCAGGATTAGAATGGGATGGGTGGCAGTGGGGAGGGGGGG